AGAAGCTCCGTCTCCCCTGCCTGGCACAGTTTCATTATTACAAATTAATTTCCTGCCAAAAATGGTTTGCTTTTATCTCATGATCCAAAGCAGCTCCTTTGATAGAGCAGTAAAAGAATTTAATCATTTATTTATTAAACTCACTCGCAATTTAGAAGAGGAAAACTAAATAGGCAACTGGTTTCTTGTGAGTCTTCAGAGATGAGGTACGTTGTTATAATAACCAGATACTTGGAGTTTGCTCAAGTTCATACTATTTATACATTAAGATCTAATTAAATCTTTTAATTTTAAATAAAATCTGTTGGCTGATTTCCCAAAAGCATATAAGCCATCTATGGAAAAGCCAGGTAGTGGGAATCCCTCCAAGTTTTGTCCTTATAATAATATCATTTTGGGAATGCAAACCTAGCTGTGGGAAATACTCACAGCTCAAAGTTGTGGTCAGTGTCTTGTAACATGTAACCATGTATGTGTGGGATGATATTTAAACTGAAAGGTGTGCACTACCTCCCCGCTTTTATTTATTTATGAAAGTGGTGTTATGTTTGTGCTCTGTCAAGTCAAGTTTGGTAGTGACACGATGTGGACTCTCTCCAAAGTTTGCATTCCTCTTTAACTCCAATAAACAGTCTGGTGGCCTCCATGAAATGGTTATTGAAAATGACCTGTCTCCAATTAACATGTCGCTCTGAATCATAGTCTCACATTAGGAATCCAATGAGCTCAGCCTTTAAGGAGCTGAAGCCATGCTGCGAACAACACTAAGATTTGGTTATCAAAGCCCATGCAATGAAAGCTGAGGATGGAATTTAGAGCTTTTCACATTACTGGCATCTCCTTTAACACAGGAATCAAAGACCAAAAAATAGAACTCTTTATTTGGACTGCTAATTCCCAGGGCATCTATATTGGTGCTGTGATCCAAACTAATCACTTGCACAGTGATTCATTAATTATATGAGAAAAGTAAAATAGGTGGCATAACTAAATGAAAGCTCTTGGTTCTATACCTACTTTGTTTTTCAGATTTAGCTCTTATTTCTTTTCTGCGTGTTTTGCATGTTTTGCATGTTTTGCCATCCTTGTACTATGCCAAAGTTAATGATTTTTATACCTTGTGCATTATCTCAGCCCACTAAATTGTTCTTCAAAAGTGATGCAAACTTCCAAAGTAACTGGAAGTTTAAGTGTATATAGAAAGCTGTGAGCAAAGGCAATGCAGTTTGAAAGAGAAGGCAGGAAATATGTATATCCCTGTAACACCCAAAAGGTTCATGGACTCAATTGCACTGGACATTAAACACATAAAAAAGAGAAAATTTCTTCCCCAAAGGGTTCACAATCTCAGATATCTGAGAGTCGGAATGAACCAACAAGCCAACCCCCATTTCTCCTCAGTTTTAACATGATTTGGCTGCAGTGTACTTCTTGCTCCATTTTCAACATATGAGAATCGCAGAGAAATGGAACAGCTACTTAATTAAACTATTTCCTTGTTTATAACTTTTTCAAATCCTAACCTCCTTCTGCAGCTGTCTTTACAACACAAATCATAATCCTTTTTCTCCTATGTATTTCCTCCTTTCTGGCATCCGGATTCCATCCCATGATATCTTTCTTAATCTCTTCTCAGTACAGTTAAACTTATGAGATTTGGCTTAATACATTTCACTATGCTGCATGGAATTATCTATTTCATGACCAAGGTCCGTCCTATCTTCAGCTATAGGCATTTTCATAGTGCTCAGATAAATCCTCATGCATGTACAAGTTCGTACAACATGGGTAACAGCCACTGTAAGCACTCAGAAGCAGGGTTCTGCTGTCCTGTAAATACTCCTACGTTTGAAAACTAGAGTTACAGTAACATTGCCACATTGTACAGAATGAAATTGCTCTTATTATGATTTATCTAAGTTCTGTAAAAGTTTATTCTTAAAACAAGGATTGAATCACTTAGTCCAGGCTCAAAAGATCTCCTGCAATACTGGCATACCATTGCTTCATGAAAAGTTTGGAGTGCCATTGTTTTCTATGTTTGTTTCTAAATGCACTGTGAAATAAAATTATTCCACAAATCCCCCTCCTCCAGCATGCTCTCCATAGAGCCAATTCACCTGAAGTGTTCAAATTGCTGTCAATAGGAAGTGATGACGATGTACTGCAAACTCCAAGGAACTATAACCAGATAAGAGCTTCTTTAGTGGGCACACGCAGTAGAAGAACTATAGTAGCAGTCTGTAATAATTGTCACTTCTGATCACCATGGGAACCAAAGAGAGGTCTGCTTTGCAGAAAACAGATCAGTAGTGACTCACCGACTGCTTGGGAAGCATGATTATTGAGAACCACTGAACTTGTGTGGGTGACAGAGAGCAATACTCTGATGAGTTACTAAAAAAAATAGCTGATGCCATTTCAACCATGGTCTGACATAGCAGAGACTCCTTTGCTAGAGATGCAGGATGAAATCAAGTAAATTAGTACTTTGTCATGGTGTTCATTAGAGATGAAGTTCATCTTTCTTTCTACCTCATTTTCCTGTGGCTTCAGCCTTGTGTGGACTCTGCTACAAAATGGATTTCACGCTTAGTGAATGAAGTCCTAACTGAGCTCTGCATGAGATTTTTCACTGGGCTTCATCAGCGCATAGGTCTTCTGTGACCCTCTGAGTGATGAATTTAACCCTTGAGCAGCACAGATGTTCATATCCTTTCAACTATACTGTGACCCGAATGGCACACAGGAGATGGGCAGTGTCTCCACCTGGACTACCCAGATACTGAGTACTTGGATCATTACAGCTAAGCTCCAGGTTATGGACTCAGAAGAAAGCAAAATAAGGGCTCTTTCTCATTGGTGTGATTCAAAGGAGCAGCTGTCCCTGAGGTGGAGTTGTTTGTGCAACTGGACCAAATTTGCAATCCAGTGAGAAAGTTGGATTGGTTTTCTATCTGATCACAAACTGTATTTTCATTCCAATGCTTCAGTACTCCAGGATTTTTCAAGTTTCAGTTGCCTGAGCTGAGAGGTACAAGTTCAAGTATAATGTTTCTGGGCTGTCAAAAAATCCCAAATTTGAGATCCTGAGCTATAAAGCCTGAATCCACTGTGTATTTGTTAAACTGTTTTCAGAGTAAAAAGATACCTGCTCAGCTCTAGCTGGAGAAAGAGTGACAACTGCAAAGGACATGTTATCACAGCTCCAACATTTAAATGTTCTAGTTTTAATGAATGGCAATTCAAGAGGTTTTGACAAATGCAAAGTATATTCCTTAATAATAACTCTGCCATTCAATGACTCCTCATGTTCTCTTCTCAATTCTCACATTGAACCATCATTTGGATGCCTAAATAGCTTCCAAAGGTGCCGTCAAATACACAGCCACGAGCTACCACAGAGGGTTTCTTTTACGTTCCTCCTCGTGACAGAAATATCCATAGATTACAAGTTTTGAAAGAGCAGATATACTCATTTCTTGTAATGTCACGTGCACTCATTAACAAAAGCTGAAGAAATGCTGCTCACCATAGAGCAGAAACACAGTTCCCTACATGGAATTTGGGCAAGACAGAATATGGTCTCCTGTCAGACAGTTTCTAGATCTCTGGGTCTTTGGGAAAACAAAAGACAAGAACCCATAAATCTATGAAAAGGACACGGCTCTAGGTCTTCAGCTTGGTGTACCGCCCTGCATATCATAAATGAATGCAAATCTACTGCAGAGGCTCTGGCCCATGATACTGAAGCACTTGTCAGTAGATCAGTAAGCTTTGGAGATAAAAAGATGGAGAGGAACAAAATAGTAAGAAAGAAAGAAACTGCCACACCTCCCACACATTCAGAGGATGAATCATTAAGAAAGAGGACAATTCTGCAATGTGCTCTGTACTTCTCTGCAGTTCTGGACAAGAAAATAAAACAATGACATGAAACAGGAAAAAGTACCCTTTGCAATTGTCCCACCAGAACTGTTTGGGAGTAAAGATAGCCTCTTTCCTGGGCCTACCTGTGGGATTCAGATGTCAGTGCTAGACCAAGTGCTGATCGAGTTTATTTCTGTGCACCTTTTTGATGACTATTCCCAGGACATGGAGGGTAGAAATGGGCAAATAATTAGGGCGATTACTGGCATCTACTGTTGGCTTTTTGAGTGCTAGCTGAACAATTGTATATTCCAGGGTGTCTAGTGGTTTTTCTTCTTTGGGAAGGCAATTGTTATCAGGTCAAAAATGGGCCTAGTTGCTCTGTGCTAAATAAACTTGTGCTTTGCACATCGTTTAGACAGTAGTAACTTTCTGCAGCATATGATGTGGAACCTACGCTTTTATGCCACGTTAGGCAGGTAATAAGCAAGTATGCACATTTATTATCCAGTACTGTTTGGTTCTCTTCAGCTTAGCTTCTGCAAACAAGACTTTGTAGACGTAATTTACAGACATTCACTCTTACGGAGATATTTTAACACTACCTCTTAACCTTCAAGCTTTCTTCATCTTTGCTGTATGATGAAGGGGTTTAGCATGAGCTGCATATTTGTCTTTGGGAGCCGGAAGCTTGAAAGCATTGATAAACCAGGCAGCAGAGTTTTGGAGAATATCAGTAACTAGCCTAACAAACTATAGTATAAAGTATAAAAGAGGACAAACATGGAATATTTTAGAAATACTTCTTTCCATAAGCCTAGCACAAAACAAACCACAGCTTGTTTTAAAGCCAGAGCTGCAAGTTACTGGAAATCATGGTCAATGGTTATTCATCGGTCTTAACAGATACTGGTGAAACTGGCAGGAATTTCACAGTTCTTAACATTTCACTTTTTCATGTCCAAATGTTTCTAGTTTGCCTTTTTTTTTTTAATTTTAAAATGGTCATTAATCTACTAAAATACACTGATGGGGTGGCTTTCTTTTTTTAAGTGCATGGCATATTGTGTCCAACAAAAAAAAAAAAAAGAGCTCGACTAAAGAATTATGCAAAATGCTTTAATAATTTAAATACATGTTCAGCCATATGGAAATGTACAATTTGTTTCATGTTCCTGTGGGAACTTACATTTGGTATGAACTTAATGAATTTTAAAACCGCCCATCCATCATTTAATATAACAAACCACTGAAGTATTAAGAACACACATTCTGCTACAATTTGTCAAACTTGAGATGCTTAGAGAAGAACTGGGGATACAAAACTCAAATATTGATCAAAACTCCTCTGTGGTTCGGGAGGATGCAACTCTGGGTTTTAGTTCAGCTCTCTCTGACAATACCATCATGTCATTCTTACACAAGGAAATGTAATTATAATATTACACGGAATGGAAGACATAACATAATAGTTTGGTTCATCAGTATTTTTTCCATGTAAAGCTTTATAAAAGAGATAAAGCTGAAGAAAATAACAGACATGTAAATATTACAGTGAAGTACATCATTGTTCTTATTTAAATAAATTTCCTTGAGCAATAATATCTTTTTAAAAGGTGAAAATTGAACACTCATATTCATTTCACTGTATAAAAGTGACAATAGTAATTATAAAGAACCTGATGGTCTTATGTCTGTTTCTTCCTATTCTAAGTTTTCAAAGCAAAAATATTAAAATTTGCAATATTACCAAAAAGATGCAAACCTGTCAAATATATTACTCTGAAGTAAATCAACAATTAATTTATAGGAACCTACCATAGGAAATGTTAAGTGGACAGTAGTAATGACTTTCTATATAAAATCTATCAAAAACTGTCAGAGAAAATATACGAAGCGTAGCTGATAGCTGATGAAATCTGCAATATGGCCAAAGGGAAATAAGTTGCAGATCATCAAAGTTAGCTCTTGTCCAGAAATATCCACGAGTTCATCAACTTCATTTTTCACTGGATAACAGCAGAAAGTTTCCATAATGCAATCGTCATTGCTAACTCATTCCATGTTGTACTTTAAGCTTTACCTGTAGTTGTAACTTGCAGCAGTTTCAATTTTTTAGTGTTCTGAACTGTCTTGCCATGTGGAAGGCTACATGAATATAAAAAATCTCCAGTAGAAAGACAACTTTCTCCTAAGTACTGGCAATTGGTCTTAGCAGAGGACTGATTAAAAAAAAAAAAAAAAAGAATGGAAAGGTTTAGCTGGACTGGTAAAGCAGTACTGCAGGACACACTCAAAATATAAACCAACTAACTAGGTTTCTGTTAGAAGCTGAGAGATCATGGGTCTATGCCCTCCAGACACACATGCACATAAACAAACTTGTGGAGCTCACAGGACCCTTTACAGGTTTAAAGCTGCTCGTACGTGTAAGTGTCTGCAAGGTCAGGCCCTGAATCAGCAGCCAAGCCCTAATCTTGTACCAACGCAAGTGCCCAACTGCACTTTCAACTATCTTGAATAGCAAAGTCAAGGGATGGATCCTGCCCAACCTCAGGCATTTATTAAACCAGGGCCAAATTAACCCAGACTCCATTCAGCAGTCACAGGAGGAAAAATGCACCTCCAGAAGTTGCTTCAGCCTTGCCCAGATCAAGGGTGATCAAGGGTTCCTAGCCAAGACATGTCAGCTAGGTTCCCAAATTAGGTGTGATATCCAACTGTAGGTTTCCCAGTATAAGGATGCTTCTAGCGGAGCCCATTTAGGATTCGCATGATGAGAGATGATCAGCATATGTGTTTTGTTGCATCAGGCCTGCATCCAGCACCAGGACCAACCAGAACTGTTTCTGGTTCTTCATCTAAATTAGGAAAGGACCTGCTTCCTGCAAAAGCAGCTATTCCTCTAAATTAGGAAAGGGTTCTACTTCTCAAGGAAAACGTTGGCAGCTTTCTAATTCCCTCCCTCCCCACTAGCTAAACGCTGAAACTGTTCCCTCTTCAAATTTGTCAATGTTCATTCAGTTCAAATTTATTTTTCCTCAGCCATGTACTTATAAAGCACCTTTTTAATTTAGTTAGCTGAAACGCTTAAGTCAGGAATAGAGCCGATAAATTTTCACTATCCTGTCCAGGATAGTGGAGGACAAAAGATTCTGCATATCAGTCGGCGCGCCCCAGTAGGTTACTTAGCAGGTGTCTAACTTTGCTCCAGTCCTTGTGGTGGTCCCAAAATGGAGCAGAATGACTAACTGCAAACCACTGGCTCCTGGCAAAAGATTTGCCTCCACGGACCCTGGTCTGTGCAATGCTGAGCGCATCCGACCTCTCCCGTGGGAGGTCTCAGTACCACAGCCGGACTAGCAGTGGCGTGGTTGGGGGGTGAATATGAGTACACCTGATTTCATTCCCAGTTTGGGTAACAGCATTCCCTTGCTTCTCACCAGTCTACCTGGAACAGCAAGCTGGCAACTTTACCCACCTTTGAATTTATGCCTGCGCCACTGAAAGCCGGGCTGTGGTTTGGCCTTTAGAAGAGTTACGCAGCAGTTGTAAATATAACCGGGTAATTCCCAGACTGCCTAATATAGCAGCACAAGGAATATTGCCACTTTTTCAACTAATACATGCCAAACACATAACATCATTAATTAAATCATACTGTACCTCCAGCTGTTTGCATCTTGATGCGTTTATTTCCTTCTAATCTTAATTAGAAAACAGAAGGTAAAGATGGTTAAAACATTCTAGCATATCACTAATTTAAAGCCCCATTCAACAAAGCATGCAGTGAAGTTAATACTGTTCCAAATACATACAATATTATTATGGTAAATCGTGTTATTGTTCTTCACTTTTTGCATTGCAACAAGCTTTGGAAGCTCAAAAATATAAAATGGGAAAAAAACAATTTGCACCGGGTTTCATACAAGAACAGAAACACATCTGAAAGCAAGCACTTACTAACTCTGCTTATTGGAATTCACCACAATGCAAGTAAACACCTTCAAAACTATAAATAGTGCTAAGGCTCTGCAAGTGCATATATCCTAGCCTCTAAATTGTAACAGGTTTTTGTTTTCTTTGAATCCACACAGCGCTCAGAGCACGGAGAAGCTGTTCAGAAGACAATGTACCACACTGTGAGCGTCTGCTCTATGATTCTTCTGCAAAAGTAGGTGTGTTAAAATTTTGCTAAATGGGAACAATCACTTCAATGATTATAAATAGTTCCACTGCCTTAAGAGGCTCCAAAGCTGTTCAGTCTGTCTGAAGTAATCACTGATTTTTAAAGGATAAATACATTTTAGTAGATCAAATTAGACTGAGAATGCATGAGAACTGCAACACACAACCTTCAAATACCTTTAGGTGCAGCTTTTGTCTGACTGGAAACCATGGCAGTTGCATCCGATGGCAGACCAACATAAACACCACCATAGTTCCTGATTTAAAGAAACAATTAAAGAGAGATCAGAGTTTAATTTAAACACTTCTCCCTGTAATGTCAACAGCACAAAGCTGTTACAAGGACCATGGACCTTCAGGGAGGAGGCACCTCCCCAGGCACTGTCAGAAGAGCCCGCCTTCCCCATGGCTCCCCAGGTACATTTTAAATGCAGTGCCTTTTGCTAAGGTGGAGTCTTTGCCGGGCAAAAGAAAAGCTAGACGATGGTTGTTATTCTTGAGAGGGATCCAAAGCTGTAAAATGAACTAACGGTTTTTCACTCAAGCTCCTAATATTTTTCATTACATCTCAACTTTCTTCTGACAGTAGACCCCACCTGCACAGCTTCCTCTACACACCCAATATCCATTTGATGACAGAGCCAATCTGATAGTCATGTACAACACTGAGACTGCTTTAGGACTTCACTTCAGATAACGCACCAATTAAATAGCACTTGGACCTCTCCAGGTAATAAAAGGACCTGCATCCCCCTCCTTAGGGTCACACTTAGAGAAAACTGTTAATAGGAGGGAGCATGAGGATGTCAGGCACTTTTATAGCCCAATCCTCTACCGTTCACTGCCTTACAGAGTGTATTTTCTGGCCTCAAGTCCTCCGTGGAAGGCAGAGAATGATGCAAAAAGGTGGAAAACTGGGTCCTTGTCTGGAGCTACTTACAGAGAATCACTTCATGCTGCTCTGATGGGTTATGTGCTACATGAATCACACCTCCTCCAGGCCTCAAGGCTCCAAGTGATTTCTGATGCATTTGACAATAGAGTTACAGCTCCTGCTGATTTCCAGCCCCGCAGAGATTTCCCCTGTGTGATAATGTAACCCAGCAGAGCTGGTTGTGAAGGCAGAGGTCACCGGCATCGCTTCCCTTCTCTAGCAGGTCACCTACAGCTGCAAGATGATGTGCTCTTCTCTCAGCAAAAATCCTTCCCCCAGCTCAGTACCAGGGGTGGGGGGAAATCCATACTGGCCTCTGCATGAGATTTCCTACTTTTCTTTTCCTTTTTTTTTTTTTTTTTAATTTCTCCATTTGTGGAGCAGGGATTACGGAGAGGAAAGGAAGGCATCTGGTGGCAGAACTCAGTGCAATCTACTCCAGATAAAGCCAGTCCCTGTCCAGCACCTACCTCCTTTTGTCATCATCTGATATGGATTCTTCTGCTCTGTAACATCAAAAAATATAAAGCATATTAGCAAACAGCTTCTTTCAGATATTCCATCACTATCTGGGTGGATTCAGGGGCAGGGAAGAAAGGGGTATGACTGATCCCAGATTAATTCAGGTCATCCACAATTCAGTAAAATATTTACATAGACACAAACAGAGAGAATGACAATTTAACAATCTAATGTAAAGAAAGAACAGGACCGACAATAGATGCAGCTTAGCTTTCAGGACCTCTGCCAAGGATGCCTGAAAGTAGGTTTGGGAGCTGAAGCTGGTAAATTAACTCCCTTCCTGAGTCCCCACACTGCATAAAAGGCTTCACACGTAATAGGAACAAGTCTAGGCTGCCATCCCCCATGAGAGGGCTGGAAAGGACTGTGTGTCCATGCTGGCATGGGAACAAGCATGCAAAGGTGGACTTTCATAGCAGTTATGACAAAACATGTTACAGAACTTCTCTGTAAGATGATGCACTGCAATTACTGAAGTCAGATTAGTTTGCAAACCAAATAACTCTGTTATTAGTCCTTTACAAACAGGCAATAACATTTCTTTTACCTTTAGGGTGAAATCAGAGTTCAGTCTGTAGATCGATAGGGAGTCAACTGGAAGTTTGACTTCCCCCATCAAAGTACTGTCCAGCGTAGCTGAACCAGGCCAAGGGGTAAAGTAATTGGCACCAAGTATGAAGACAAAGGTAGTAAGGAAAAGATAAAAATTGTATTGTTACTCGCTGACTATATAATGCCTGTGCCACAGCCCCAGTCCATCTGTGCCTCAGCATCAGCCCTCACCCACACCACTCACCCACCTTTTATTAAATATTTGAATCTTGAGCTCTGCTTGCTTGCATCGGCAGGTATGGATCAAGGCAGCAGCTGCACCTTTGCTTGGTCTGCAGCTACCAACTTAGCGGTGAAAAAAGAGGCAAGAGAACTCGAGTGCCGATAAACCCATAAACACCCACCACCCACTCCCTACAACAGGGGGAGCCTGCCATAATGGCCCAGGAAGGATCCTGCACCACAGCTGCTTAGGCAGTCATGAGACAGGGCCTCAGCAGTGCCCAGGGAAGGGTGCAAGCTGTGCGGAGAGCGTCATGGCCTGAGGAAGGCTCGGCTGTGGAAATGCTCATGCATTCACCCAGATATTCCCCTCAAAGAATCAATTGCCGGGGATATGAGGGCAATGCAAAGACACTCTCCACCATGAGCCCCTCTGTGAATTTCTGGTCTGTTCCCCAGGTGACAAAACAGAGCTGGCTATTACCCAATGTTAGAGCTAAATCCATACTGTAACCTTGAAAGGCATTTCTGAACTATGATATTGAACAATATTGTATAACATTTCTCATTATAATTTACTTATTCTAAAAGATAAATATGTCTTCTATATACTATGACTGATCCCTGAAGTCAAGGTGGTCTGAAGAACAGAGAGCTCACAGCAGGATTCAGCCTTAAATGCGGGGAGGTGCACCTTAGACCTATGTCAGCACTCCCCTACGAGGGCAACAAATGCCACAAAAATGTTGCTACTAGTCAGAAATAATCTCCTCTCATTTGTCTTCTTTCTAAGCAGCAGAACATCACAGACTATCCTGTCCATGCCACCACAATGACTAGGGATACCCAGGTTCTTTTCATACTAGAGGTCTGGGGTAAATTTAAGTACGCTGTAGTTTTGCTAAATGCTATTCATGCAGTGCATACCAGTGTCAGGGGTGAACTAGCTAGTCTGCTCTCTTCCTGTGTCTCACCACTCAGAGACAGAGCAAGTGCCAAGCTCCTTATTCTCTGGCCCACTTGCTCTTCCTCTAGAGGAGCTAGCACCATTTCAGAAGTCATTTCCCTCTCTCCTCTGACTCCGAAAAACCATGTTGCAGCCCTCATGCACGCAGCCATAAAAATGCACTGATTTGTTTCCTTGAGGACTACGGAACAGCTCTGTCCTAGGGTTTTCTAATTCCAGCTGAAGAAAGTGGAAAGCGTGTGTATATCAGTGGGTAGAACTGAGCCATGTATTTTTAGAATAAAATGATAACACTTTAAGAAAGGAACTTTAGGTCCCAAAAGATCACAAACAATCATTTCTGTTGAATCAACTGAATGTGTCACAGGATCGATTTTCTCATATAACTAGAAACATTTTATATAATCCAGACTACCCATTATGCAGAGAAAATATTCCTTTAAAAGCACTGGCAACTTCATGCGTAGATCAAAGCCTCTACAATGGAGTTGTAAGAATAATAATCAATAATGTCCAAATGGAAGTTAATGTTGATGCTTAGAAAAAAGCTTCTACTAGGCAATAGGGCTATTTTCTTCCATGCCAGAAATGTTTTGTAATAGAGCATCACTGAGCCATTACTGCCATTCCCTCACCAAAATAAATTATCCAGGTCCCTGATTAAGCAGACTAATTTTTTAAACATTTTGATTTCCTCCTTTCCTTTTAATAGCTACAAATCAAAGTCTAGTTTTGCAATACATTTTCCCTTAAATGCACAATAGTATATATAGTCTGGGATTGAATGGGCCACAGCTCTCGGGCTGAGGGATGACTAGGTGCATCTGTTGCAGTCCTGGTAGGAAAAAAGGGATGAATGGGAAGAGTTAAAACATAGAAATGTGAAAGGAGAAAGAAAGAAAAACTCTGGTGATGACACTCAAGGAAGAAGCTGTTTTCCACTGCTTTCTGGGGTCTCATTTCTTAGCAATGCAGGAGGGAGTGCTGCTTCAAATTATGCATTAGGCATATTTATACCTCTCTTGCCTTCATACACTGTAGCCTAAGGCACCATTTTGAAAGGTGCCTGCTAATCTCCTGTCTTCAAATTTCCAGGTGCCAGCTGAGGCATTGAGCCAGATTCTTACTCTGGGCTCCGGCGGGGGGAGCAGGGTGGCTACAAGGCTGTGACGATAACATCCAAATGCTTCACCTTGCGGAAACACAAACAGAAAGAAGCTCCTTTGGTTTTGGCAGTGCTGTGGCAGCCACGCAGCCCATACTGGTGGACAGTCAGGGATGGGCGAGTCCAGCACAACCTCTCGCTCTGCCTCTAACGTGCCTCTAGCTCCTTCTTACATCAGGGAGGGAGCAAGAAGTTAGGGTCAAAAATATCTCACTCTGCATCAGCTCCCATCTACAGCGTTTTCCAGGAAGAGCAAGCTACCATAAGCTTTTTTTGTGCCAGGAACAGATGCAAAATGAACTTTATAGGCTAGACAAAACAGTCCAACATATTTTGCACTGACTTGCCACAGGGTCACTGCATCTTCCCTCAGATGTTGACATCTACTGCAAGAGAACTGAAACTATATTTATAAGCACGTAGCTTAGATGGAGTCCTGGAGCTGGTAGGTGGATTTAACAGCCAGTCCACATAACAGCCTTCTCTTTTCAGCTAGAAGAAATGTGTCTTTTGTTAAGAATTTTTTTCCCCAGGAGACTTCCTGTCATCCTGGTATGTTTTGAAAGATATATTTAGTCTTTTAATTGTAGGTTTTCACATCCAACAGTTCTGTGTCCATCTGATGACAAAAAGAAGCTGCCATTTTTCACAAAATATTTTGAACATAAGATAACAGGCACCCACATTAATTCATTTCATGCACATTTTTCTTATCTCAGCTTTTATGATCTTGTTCATGGCAAGCTCTGGCACTACAGGGACTCTTTCTGGTAGCGCGCAGTAGTCTCACCTGAAATGATTCACTAAACTTTGCCCACGTGGCAAATTTCATCTCCTTAGTTCCTCAGTGTTTCTTGGGGTTACACGTCATGGATTTCTTCATGATATTTTGAAACCGCCTTGAGTTGTTGTGTCCTTTCCTTACTCCTATCACTAGTTTTCATCTGAACCAAGCCATGCTCTGAATATAAGAGACACCGCATTATTTTCTAGCATATGTTTACTCCTCCAATATCTAAGCTTTTTCAGTTAGCAGTGACATACTTCTTAACTATTAGTGGGGCAAGTGAGTTGACTGAAGCTGGCCAACAGGTTCACCATTTATTTGGGGGGTGGACTACACAGAGAGAGGTCTTGTTGCCAGATCATACGGCCTTCTTGCTGTCACACAGCACTGCATCTCAGAGCACTTTGCACGGGAAGTTAGCCTGAATCATTTGCCTGTTTTTACTGGTGGCGAAAGTCAATCCTGGAAGGCAAAGCAGCTTTCCTACGGTTACCCAGCAGAGCTAAAAGCAGGATCAAATTCTCAGTCGTCCCACCCAGATGCTCATCCCAGGAGACCACCACACCTTAGCAAGGAGTCATGGTCAGGAATCCAGAAATCTTTTGAATTAGAATCACTTTTTGTATTGAAAAGTACAATGTAAGTGAGCGTACACCTAAGTGCTTTTCTGGATCCAGGTCAACATGACCGAAGTTTTTTGGCAAAAAAAAAAAGTTATTTTTTAAGAGAATTTTTCAAATCCTTAGCTGATAAAAGTGAAAAGTAAAGTAAAATAAAAGCTTGCGCAGCTTAATAATTTTAGTTAACATAAATCTTTGTTCACTTCCACAAAACTAAAATCGTTTTTTTGTGATATTTCACTTCCTTTTTAAAATAATCTACTGTTAAATATTAGGATGATTGATCTAGGACTTTTTTAGTCATCACTCCAGTAACTCATTAACAGATGCGTGCTTCCTTTTTCTGACTGGAAGGCCCAATCATGCTGTCACTCATCCAGGTTGTTCAGCTGGCTCCACTATACTTACTTGAATGAGTAATGGTTCCAAGATTGACCGTTTTCATGTGCTGAAGCCTGCACTAGTAATTAGGGTTTTTTTCTAAATTAACCTGGTATTTTAATAAAACCTCATTTTATAAAATTCTAAGAATTCTTTATGGGGAAAGCATTGTAAAAATTCATACGTACCCTTTTGCAGATTTCAGGGTAATGACTAGTGCCTCTAACCAGTAATAATAAAAATAAAAGTAACATTCACCCTAATTATTTTTTGAAGTGTGAAAGATGATCTATCACTAATAAGTGGGATTTTCGCAGTTTAAGTCCTAAAGCCTTGGCCATAGAAATGTTTAAACACACATAAACGCAATCGTACATATACGCATACCTTTAAGCACAGACACACACCTACTCAATTCGTACTGTAATAGCATTTGCAATTTTGAAGTTTAAAATTACCAAAGAGCCAAGAGAGGTGTACTTCTGAGTTAAAATATAGTCATTTAAATTGTGCAAAATGCCTGAACAACATAAAAAGGCCCTAATAGAAATTTAAAACGGTGTTTTTCTGTATATGAGAATGTTGAGGACATGAATGCTGCAGCCCGTGCTGAGAAGAGGTTCCCCATCAACTTGCCTTCCATAATTCATCTCTTGTCAAATCTCTGACATTGAAGATCCAGCAAACAGATTACGCAGGAAAGAGATTACAAGAGTATCTGGGACAACAGCATTCATCTGCCAAAGTGAGACCTGTTTTCAGTTCTCAGCTATAATCTCTCCCAGGTCCCACAGTCAAACTCCAGTGGCAAATACCAAATAAATGAAACAGAAGGCAAAAGATAGACCTCAGGAGGACTTCTTGAATATTTCCTTCAATAGGAAAAGAAGTTTATGGCTAAATGAAGCTTTTTCTGCACATTTCTGCACCAAATGAAAACATGGCTGAGAAAGGCTGATCTTTTGCTGCTTTTCTGAAAATTAGTAGTTTGCAAGAGGCAGCAGGGCAGCAAAGGTTCAGGCCTTCCACTCTTGGAGAAAAAACGGATGGGGTAGGGTTGCCCTCTGCTACTAACCATCGAAGATAAGGAAAGAAAAGAGGAGCAGATAAACACTGTCTTCAGTGTGGAGAAGGTAAGGTCTGTAACAATGATCACATCTTCTCCCTTCATTGGCAAAAGGGATATTATCTGCAGCTCAGAACAGAGAAGGTGGGAGCTTTCCAAAGGAAGTCTGGATGTGCTACCAGCTCTCTTTCAAACAGGAGAAATTTGCCTGAGTAGTTCCCTATATCCCTCACAGGACTCGGAGGAAATTTATGTGGTTGCTTCACACAAAGGCATGCCCTTTGGAAAAGGGCAAGGAGGAGCAGTCTGAAGAAACATGGCCATCTCTGGAAAACACAGCTCTCAACAGAGGCACATTTCTCTCTTGGCTAGAGAAACAAAAAGGGAAGATACCTGTACAACAGTAAACAACACATGGAGTTGTTTTGGGGAGATGGAAGCTATCACTAAAAGACAATAAACTTCTGGTGGGGCTGATTATATATTGGGAGCCAGCTAAATTATGTATGTAAATTATGTATGACAAAAATCTAGTGTGAGGCTAATAGGATTGTAGATAAATCCAGGGCTACATGTTTGAGCAGATAGATAGTAAGTACTTACACATCTTTAGTAGTCCCTGTGGCACCTAGAATGAAAAAAAAGGGCATGTTTACAAGGTAACGGCATAATCCTCTTTAAACCAACCAATACTGTACAATAAGTGTTTTTCTGCCTTTATATCCTCCAGACGACTTCTTTACACATATGGTGAGAACATACAGATATAGCAAAAGGTATTTTCCATTGTCAGAGAACAGGTTTCTCGCAATTGTCTCGTTTATCATTAATGATTATCTATATTATCCCTTAAGTCTATCACACTTGTATCAGGGCCAGATTCTCAGTGGGTGAAAACAGCTGGCTGCTCACGCTGCTGCCAACAGAGCCGTGCCCAGCTGCACTTTCTCAGGACAAGAGCAACACAAGAATAAATTGATCCCTCTGCATTTCTTATGCCTTACTGCTGTCTTCGGGTGGTTTTGTCTGCAGCAAAGTCACTGCAACTAACTGAGCAGTTAATCCTGAACGTCTGTTTATGTTGTGAATGTGCTGTTTGATGTGGGGACAGACATGGCAGTGTGCGTAAAATTATGTTCCATCCTTCCTGCCAGATAAAAAAAGTTCTAGACAGAAATAATACAAACTTTAGGGCACAATCCATGCAAAGCCCCAGACATCTAAATAAATCAACCGCCCCTTAATTCATCTTGCTATTTAACAAAACACCCTAAAGACAAAAGCTATAACCTGGCTGCCTGATCTCAGAGATTGATTTTTTTGTGACTCAGCTGCTTCTTGCTGGGAGAGGAACAGTCACTCAAGTACAAATTCTTTCCTGTTTCTCCCAAGTTATTAATGCCATGTTGCTATTGCTGGTATGTCATTCACCTTGAGTAACCAGCAAATTATCCCCTCTATTAATTATGCAGGGTAGAGTAGACATTAGAAAACCTTTACTTCTCTTTTCCCTCTTCCTCTCAGCACTTAGGTGGAAAAGACTAGCTGAGCTCAGTCTGAAAAAACAACAGTTGCTAATCCAAAGGATTTTATGGTTTTGGAGGGGTGAGGATTTGTTTTAGGCATGGCTCTACATTTCTTGGAAAACATTTTTCTTCTTTTGCTGTGGAAAAATATCTATAAACAGCAAACATCTTTATCTCATCTCATTCTGGTGTATGAGAATATGCCTTCAGTGCCTTGATTTTAAACCCACAGAGGAAGAAGCAGTAATGCAAGGCCTCCCAGCACTGTCTACCTGAATAGACTACTTGACTGGTAGGAAATGGTAGGCATGCCTCTCTTTACAGCCTGAGCATAATTTTGCTTTCAATTCCCATTACTTGACTATCCCTCCTTCTCCTAGCAGCAATGTAGACTGGACTTGTACAAGACAGCACACACTTCTTTTGTTAGCACTGCTTCCAGAGTCAGCAAGATCTCAGTACGGCTATTTCCATCAGCAGAAACTCTTAATTAAGTTGGACAGATTTCTTCTATGTATGAAAAGCTCAGATCTCACTTTAAAACCTTGTTCTGAGGCTTTTTGGCTCTATAGCTATTTCTACATGGCACCACATATGACCCATCCACCCTTATCTTAACTGTGCCCAAATTTTTGCATTGCGGTGCTGCTTCACGCAGGCTTTCATAGCCTGACCGCAGCTGACTTGGTGAGATGTCCTCTGCTGCACAGGCTAGTTCATTCAGAGTTAGCTCAGCTATATATCTTCTAGACGCCATCCTGCACATGTAGACAAACCCCAGGGGTTAGCAACACCTCAGACAACACACACTTTGAAAAGCCTAGCCCCATCGCTGTAGCTAGCAGGATCATTTTTTTAGAAGTCTCCTCTTAAGAGGCAAGAGAAAGACATTTCTCTCCTCAGCAGAGCTACACAGCAAAATCAAACTCTTGCTGAGACTTATCTTAGGATTCTAGAAATGGAACGCTTACTGGAAAACTCTGGGAAGAAAAACAAAAACAAAAACTTTTCTTGTGTTTTGCCTGTTCTTGCATCAGAACCATAAATTTCTCATTTTCACGCATCAGCCTGAGTTCACTGCAGACACAATCAGTCTCCGCGAAAAGGTTCATGGTCCTTTGTAATTCCTTTAGCGAGACTGCCCTGAGTCTGAGGCGGGGTCTCAGCACTTTGGGTCTTGGTTTGAAAGACAGATGCCTGCCTTGCAGGAAGCCTAACAAAGAGGGAAAATAATATGACCTGCAAACTGAAACATTAGCTGGAGGTGAAGAACTGTGTGTCTACAGCGCTTCTACATTTCTCAAGGGATCTACTCAAATTCTGGTAACTAGGCAAACACTCTTTAATGCCATATCCATGTTTGGTGCAGAGACCCGTGCATCACCTCTCACAGAGAGCAGTATGGAAGCCAGCTCCAGACTTTTTATTCAGCTCTGCGCTCACGCTAACCAGTCCAGCTGGCAGGCAGACTTCACAGTACATGGACATACAAAATACCGGTGTATTAACTATTGCTTTCACAAACACAAAAAAATCAGGTTCTCCTCACTTCCCCGATGAGGTTCCGTTGACTTCAGGGGTGTTATTTCTCATGTTACTAGCAAAAACGGAACAAGACTTTGGTCCAGATTCACTTCAGTACCATTAAAGTATCTCAATATAGACCTGAAAGTATTTCCAGTTCATAAAAAGGTTTTCTTACTGGAAGAGGCTGGAGCTTAAGAATGAAAGTCACCGTAGTTAGCTGGCTCAGCCCCCATCTTTAAGTAAAAACTCATACGGCTTTCTTCATTATGGAATCTGAACCCTCCATATGCATAGATTTTATTTCACAAGGGACCCAAATTACATCTCAGTTTGTACAGATACATTTGTTTTTCAAGACCAATTCATTCACCCTACTCCTGTTATTTCACTGGCATGTTTCTCTAACTCTTCCATGTTTGGCAAGCAACGCTTCTTCATTTTATAACTCCTCAAGTTCCTCCTGTCAGAAGTTCAGCCAAAGAATCTTGTTTACTACTGATTCACAAACAGTGCATAGCTATTCCATAGCAGTCAGATTTAATGCTGTGGTAGCCATGATGTTTTAAAAACATGACTTGGAAAAAGGCTCATGTACTTGAAAGCTTGTCCATTTTTTTCAGCCTTGCCCTACCAACCTTGAAAGGCTCACGCTGCTTTGCTGCCCCCAAAGCCTGTTTTGCAATGTGGTTAACGGGTACATTCAAAGAGCTCAGGCAGCAGCGGCCAGGAGAGAACTGCATCATCTCCCTTACCTGGTGGGGAAGACAGAGGAAACCTGAGGAATCACTGTTACGGGAAATACATATCTTGTCCTGCAGATATGTGAAAGACAGAGCCGAACCCTGTGCAGACTCACTAGCTTTGCGCCCCTCCTGCCTCTAGCAATTTCCAAAACCTGCCTAACTGCAGCAACAGACTAGGGTAGCCAGGGATCCGCGTCCCCAAAGAATAGCAAGTATTGAGCTTTCCTGAATGACTTCGCTGCTTACACAGCTACACAGTAGGACCATAGCTGCATTTTGGCACTTCACAGCTGCAGGAGGAAGAAAAGGAGGAGAAGGAGGACTACAGGCTGGAATAAAGGAGGCACATTCAGACTTTCACTGCTCTGGACACGAGTGACTACAACAGAAAAACACTCTGTCTAGACTGGAGCTGCGATCCCTCAAAGAACAGTCACAAATGAGGAAGGACAAAAAGATATCCCAAAGTATCTTCCATTCAGTGGGATGGGTCTTGCACTTTCAAAACAACAGCAGCCTGTAACTGGCACCCCTGCAGGATTTCAGCAATTGCAGGACAAATGCAAAAGATGGTTGGAAGAAATTGATAGCCACAGAGAATATTCCTCTGTGCTGAGAAATACGTCATGAGCCAAGACGGAAGACAAAATCTTCAGAAAAACTTCAGAAGGGTGAGGACAACCAAACACTTAACACAAATGCATGGATACAAAATATGCAAGTATCTGACCTTTAGAGCAGATTATGAAACATGTTTCCATTAATTTTTAGTGCACATCTTCCCATAATATTTTCTTGCAAATACTTCACATTATACCAAAAATCAAATCAAAAACTGAAAATTACCCATATACATATCCAATACTTAAGATTACAATTGAATTTTCTCTTATATACTCACTTCTGATTTGCTCAAAAAGAAAGGAATATGGAACCGGATCCTAATGTTAATGGATTTATTATAGGTTTACCTCAGTGTAACTGAGAATAGAATTTACTCAGTTTACCTCAAATTGATTACTGCTCCTCAAGTGGCAGTTTGGTACACAAACATGACCTGATCAAACATTAATTTTAAAAATTAGTTGGATTTTAAATAGAATGTCAGACTGGTTTGCTGAGCCTTCCAGCAAACCTGAAGTTAATAAATCTATCTCAACTTGTTGGGAAAATTCTCCTTCATTGAAATTTGGCTGTATGTTAAGCTTCTCGCAGACTAAGAGGTTCTCTCTATATTTAAATGAAGGCTAGACTGCCAGCCTCCACTGAATACCATAATCTAAGGTGCTGTCATTCCTACTGCAATTGATACAGAAAAGAGGAGGCAGTTAAAAAGAAAATTGTTAATGAAGACAACACCAAAATGAAGGGAAATCCCTTAACTCAGGAAAAAGTAAATTAATGCTTAAGGGCATACTAAAGGACAAAAAAGAAGAGCTATTTTGGAGCTTCTAAAACACCAGGAAATAACATCATAGAAGCATCAGGATATGCAAAGCGAGATTACAAAACATCAGGAAAACAATGGTTTGTTAATAAAAAACTTTCTATGGCTAATGGGAAATGTTAAGAACAAATATTATCCATAGTCAAGATTTAAAACAGCTGAGGAATTCAAAAAGGATGTATATACATCAGTTTACTTGGATAACAAAAGTTGCTATTTCTCAGCTGCTGAGCCTTCAGGCCTCAAATCCTTTTGCCAATGTCTGATGCATTGGAGGGAAAAGGTAAACTCTGCGTTACAGCTGTATTCTGGAGTCCTGCCCCCAGACAGAAACGTTATCCTAGATCACATCTATTAGTTCAGATCCTGCAGACCACAGGACTGATAGCTCTTCTGATGTCATTCTAGCTGTGCAACAGAAGATAATAGCATTAGCTGAACTATCATTACCTATAGGATTGCTTAGGAAAAATGTAGGTAAGCTACAATGGAAATGTCACCAGAGTAAGAGAATGGGACTAGCGTAACATGTCTACTCTGTTCTGTGAAATGTGCTACAATATTGTCCTTAGTCATATAATATGACAGAGAGTGTTACAGGTTAATTGCATCTTATGTACCTCTGGCTTTGACATTCCTGACTGTAGAATAGTCATAACGTTAGCATTAAAGACACAGTCATACTGTGCAAGCCATAAAATTAATTTGTATTTACACTATATTCATGTCTTTTGGTAAAACGTTGAGAATTATTCTTCCCCTTTTAGCTCAAGAATTCTAGTTAAAAATGGCACATCTTCTCCTTCCCTTAAATAAAATAGTTTATTTTTTATTAGATACATTTTTTAAGGAATCCCTTCTTTTCAGGGCCTGAAAGGAAAATAAACTGAAGGAGAAAATTAGATAGTAGGGGCCTGACTATCTTCTTACTTTTATTACCAATTTCTGATTACTATAACATCATAGGCTTCATATTCCTGACTTACCGCTGCTGAAAGTAAGAACAGAACTGGACCTTTGAGAGAGCTATGTTTTCTTTGGGAAAGGTCTATTAGTGTGACAGTAATAATTACATTATACTTATTATGTATTTTACATGACCTTGCTGCTTTTAACCTATGCTAAGCCGTTGGAGATCTGTGGACTATTTCTAAGGAGTATGCAAAAGGCTGCAATGAAATACAAACTCATATATTTAATGAATAGCACTAGAGATAAGTTAAATTACTAACGGGGCTGTGCTTTCTAGTGGAAAAATAGCTCCCTTAAAAGCAAGTGCTGACACATGTATTTAAACAAATAAACTTTTAGTTCAAAATAATTCACTAAATAATACCTTTGTCAGAGTTGGTCTATTCAGCACTTACCCATCAGCGGCCTGGAACAAGTTCTACCGGGTGGCCAGACCCACACTGGCAGACTTGCTATCACAAAGTAACTCATAATTAACTCAAATCGAAAATTTTCCACCCAACTATGTAAGCCTGCTCTGACACTTGCTCTGGTGCTTGCACCTTGCAAACATGAAACTGGGATGTGAACAAGCGTCATCTCAGCAGTAGGAAGCGACATTAGTTATACACTGAAACAACTTGCAGTCACCGCAATCTAGGAATCGGCTAATGGGAGAGAAGTAACGTGTGCCAAACAGGACAGCGCCAAGAAGCGATTTGGAAGTTTGAGCAGATTCAAGCAACGCATCCTTTATGCATGAAAGAGGCCTCTGATACATGATACCTAAAATGTAATTTATAATCACCTAACAAAAATCAAGTAAGCAGAAAAGCCTCCCCCTGCCCTGTGAGTGCCAAGTGCAGGGTTTAGGGAGAAGACCAGCAATACAACCCACAAACACACATACATACAACTTGGAGAAGTCAGTATAATTCGTGCTCATAAAGATATGCCCAACTCTGCGAATCAGGACTAGCACCACCCAAGACAACAGACTGAAGCTCTGGGTAAAATATATGGAAATGGCAAGAGATACAGATCCAACAATTTGAACGGGTCCTACCTCTATTTTGCTGTAGATTTTCAAGGGATTAGGGCTATAACAAAGGTATTTGAAAGATTTAGTACGGGTATTTAAAGAGGTGGCAAGGTTTGCCAAGGGCAGTTAGGATGAAAAATGATGTTTAAGTGCTTATTTTTGCAATTCCTTCATATGTTTATTTGTATGACTATTTCATCTGCTGAAAGTCCTTTTATTCATTTCCATAGGTTTTCTTTTTCGGGGGGAAGGGGGGGGAAAAGAACAACAGCTCCATCCTCCCAGCCCTTCTCTCTTTCGAAAATAACAACGCACAAATAAAGGAGGCAGCCGGACGCCTCAGTCAGCGCGACGCGCAAGAAACCTTCAATCTCGGGAATATTCTCCAACTTCTCAGGCGAGCGGAGGAGCAGAAGTGGCACAAACCCCTCTCGCAAGTGCCATTCTTGGCCATATAGGGAAGCGCAGAGGGTGTCGCTTACACCCCCGGCCGGCTCCTTTACGTGCGGCTTGAGCCGCGCATCGCATCGCCCGGCCCGGCCCGGCCCG